AGTGGGGAACTTCAATAAATTTCTTGGAGTGAAAAGAGACTCAAAGGGCATGACCAGGAGAGAAAAGATAGTCCCTTAACCACAGATGCAAGGTGAGAAAGGAAATTTGTGTGCAAAAAAGGCATGTGGGTGGGGAAAAGATCCCGAGCTGAAAGGACCAGTGGCAGCCCAGTTATAGAAGGTTTTAGGGCAGTGGTTCTCAACCTTGGCTGCATATTAGAATCACCTGGGAATCTTTTTAAAATCCTGATTTCTGGGCCTCATCCTCTGGAAATTCTGTTTCTTTGTTATGGGGTGGGGCCACAACATTAGTAACAAAGAAACAGAATTTCCGGAGGATGAGGCCCAGAAATCCAGATTTTAAAAAGATTCCCAGATGATTCTAATGTGCAGCCAAGGTTGAGAATCACTGTTTTAGGGGAAGAAAAGTGTGTTCCATGAATTTTTAACTTAGTTCTCATCTGTGCTCTGTCAGCTCCCTCTTCCTAATTTCTGCCCTTGGACTCCCAACAATAATCTTCAGTGAAATGGACATTTGTTACTCCTCTTTTTAAGGGGGGATAAGTGGATTCTTTTGGGAAAATTAGAAGAGACGCCTTTCTGTGTTTGAGTCAAGGTTGTGCACAATATGGGTAACAGGTGAGGATGCATGGGGCAGCTAACATCTGCGTTATATAACGAGAAGAGTCACAGTAACTTACATTAAATAGCCACCTTCATTTATTTATTTATTTTTGGTAATTTAGAATAGAATACTGCATTTTATATTCAGAGTATTTAATTTTGCTTTATGAATCTGTCTTTTCCTTTGTGTGTGGTATCTCCTATGTCTCCCAATAGGAAAGCTAAGGTGGTTGATTACCTGTCGGCAAAGGATGCCATTTCTGGATAATCACTCTTGCTTTCACTAATGAATTATATGTTTAATAATTTTTTCAAAGCACAATCCATGTCTTGGCAAACAGTCAAAACCATCCCCCATAGTGTGAAGCTACTGTACACTCTCCCTGAGAATTAGCTCTGGATGGAATTGGTTTTGAGTTGCAAAAATGAGAAAATAAGATTATAAGAGAGAATAAATTGTTCATGGTGACAAAAATAAACACAAAGGCAGGTGGGAATGAAGAGCTGTTTGCCCTGCTTGTAAGAAAGCACTAGAGAGACTTTTAAAGATAAAAATCCTTAACATTTATACAGCTCTGGTAATTAAGGGTCATTAATTAGATATTAGCTTCAGGTCATTCAATGAATTAGCAGTGGATTTAGAATGAGAGCTGTGCATACTTCTGGAGACTAGGAACAAATATGATTCATTTTATACTTCTTAAAGATTTTGACTTTCTTGTACTCATTGAGAATGACTGTGTGTGTGTGAGTTCTCATAGACACCAATATGGACTTATTATTGTATGAATTCCTACTTAGATAGAGCACTAAATTATAATTTGTCAGTTTGATATTTATAACCCTATAGAGACAAGACTATGTAGGAAACTCCAAGTTGTTAGAACTCTCACAGTGAAAGTCACTGCTGAATGCCCACCCCCAACATGGGTACATGTTGGCACAGACGATTTAATAAAAACGCACAACAGATACTTGTTCCTTCTCCAGATTGAGCATTGCCAACTCGGGTGCACCAGACACATTGTAAGGGAATCTGGCATCAATCCCTTTTCACTGCAAGTTGATGCCTTATCTCTGCAGCCAGAGTGCCTGGGTTTGAATCCCGATTCCCTGACTCACCAGCTGTGTGATCTTGGGTGAATTACTTTGCCTTTCTGACACTCAGTTTGTTCATCTGTAAAATAGAGACTAATTTATCTCCTGTCTTCAGTTGTTAAGAGGATTAGTGAGTAAATATTTGTAAAGTGCTTAGAACAGTATTTGGCACATTTGTGATATACATAAATATCTGTTAAACCTATTAAAAAGTTCACTTTTAAAAATACTTTGCTGAGTTGAAGATAGAAGATATTCTATAAATGTTTCTAAGTCTTTTTAAAATTCACATAATATACAGATGATATATTATAGAACTGTACACTCGAAACCTATAATTTTATTAACCAGTGTCACCTCAATAAATTCAATAAAAATTTAAAAAATAACTTAAAAAATTCCCATTTAAAAATACTTGGCAAAAAAAAAATGAGTTCAGATTTCCTCACTTAGCAGTGTATATATACTTTGTTACTGATAAACTTCAAGGAACAAAAATTGGCTAAGTTAGCACTACAAAAACTGCTTTCTTTGAAGATACTGGGGATGTGAGGGTCAGGCAAAAGATATTTGATGATGGCTATTGATGTTGTGAATGAGATGGAAAGAAACTGAGGGGCTGGGATGGCTTAGCTGCTCATGAGCCACAGTCACTGAGGTGGTTGACTGGTGAGTTTGAGGGAGGCAGTGTGGGAGGTCTTGGCAAACGAAGTTCTTCAGCTTCACCCACACTCTATTTCAGTGCGATAGAGTGCTGCCAGCAGCCAGAAAAGGAAAATTTGACAGGGGAGTGATTTGTTCCAGAATTGTTACAAAATTCCTAAAATTATTAAATGGAACAATTTTTCATTAAGTAAAAATATTTTCATGTTAAACAATAAACTTTAAGTGGGTGATTTCTGTCCACAACAAAGCATACAGAAAATAACAGGCTATTAAAATTCCTACAAGAGCCCTACACAGTTTGGCTCAGCGGATAGAACGTTGGCCTGTGAACTGAAGGGTCCTGGGTTCAGTTCCGGTCAAGGGCATGTACCTTGGTTGTAGGCTCCATCCTGGCCACCAGGGCCACGTGCAGGAGGCAACCAAACTATGTGCCTCACATAGATGTCTCTCTCTCTGTGTGTGTCTCTCCCTCTCCCTTGCACTCTCTCTAAAAAGCAATGGAAAAATACCCTTGGGTGAGGATTGATAACAACAAAAAATTCCTAAAAGATTGCATTATATTTAGAACATTTTTTCTTGGAAGTCAAAATACCAAAATAGTGGTAGGATCATACAAATGTGGTCAGGAAACTGAAATGTGCACACTGACGTTCCAGTCCCAAATCAATTCCAGAAACAGCTGCCCTTGCCTATATTTCATAAGCTAATACAGAGCTGATATTTCTTCCCAAGATTGGCTCCACTTTCCCCTTTTATTTGTAATGTTGATTCAGGTAGGGCAGGCTAAATTACAGTTCAATAACAGATGACCCCAAACCTTACCTTGTATCTCTGGCAAGGATGCGGGATGCAGAGTGGGGTGTGTATTGGCTGGGAGATTGTTCCTCCTTCACCTCCCACTGGTAACATCTTTCAGTTTTGAGTCATGAATCTTGGAGCCAAGTACCCTCCTCTCCCCACAAGGCAAAAGGTTTTTGCTTCTTTTCCCCCTCCCTGAGTCCTGCATCCCCTCCAGCTGTAGACTCCTACTGCTTGTTACGCAGAGCAAGGCTCATAGCGGGGACAGAAGGGGCCTGCCCTTCCTTCTGGGACAGATGACTTGCCTGTACCTCTCCCTGAGAACCGGCAGCTTTTACCTGGGCCCGGGGGTGGGAGTGTTCCCTGCCCCTCCCATGACACTGTTTCTTTTGGCAGAAAGTCTGGTGAAGTAGACGTAGTTCTATGCCTACAGACAAGGAAAGGCGTCTCTCAGGTCTCCTGCCAGCCCCACATCTTTGTTAGTGCCCTGGGGAGGCCAGTGGAAAAGAGCTTGTGAGTGAGTGCAGATTCCCCTTGTGTTTGGGGCCCCCAGATTCTAAACTGCTCCCCGGTAGCCTACATTTGGCCTTTCATAATTCATTAAAATTTTAGTTGTTTTTCCCCTACCTGCTGTTATGGTGGCTAACACTTCCTTCCAGGCTCTGCCAAAGGTGAAAGACTTCTGGGTCCCTTCTTTCTTGGGGAGCTTGCCACCCTTTGTCTTTCACTCGGTGCCTGCTAACCTCAGCTCTCAAATGGCCTCAAGAAAAGTTAAATTTTGTGGTCAAGATGGTGGTGTAGTACCTGCATCCTCCCTTAACCACATCAAAATTACAACTAAACCACAGAACAGCCATTAATGAGAACTAGCTAAAATCTAGCTGAACAGAAGTCCTAGAACTAAGGATCTAAAGAAGCCACATTGAGGCTAATGTTATTGGGCAGGCACTGCAGATGACAAGACATCAAGAGCCCACAAGGCAAAGCAAGATGATCTGATGAAGCTGATGTCCCTTCAGTCTCCACCTGCCCAAGGACAAACCAATGCTTGCTGAAGACGACCCTAGAGGAGAGACACAAAGAATGCATAAGGGATTATGTTCCCCTGAACACTATCCTACCATGGAAGGAGGAGGTGAAGGGCAAGAGCCAAAACGATGAAGAAAATACTCAGAAAATTTCACAGGTGAAGGAAAGTTTGAGTGAAAAAGTTTCTCTCTATAGAAGTGACATTGCATTGCTAGAGGTAGATGCTGTAGTCAATGTGGCAAATGCCAGTTTCCTTGGAGGAGGAGGTGCTGACCTTCCTGAAGAAAATAAAGAAAAGCTAGTATTTTCCTGCTACAGTAAAAGGAAATAGGCGGATAACTACATCTCCTCCACCCTCTCCCCCTGAAGGACCTTCTAGATCTCACTAATAGATGGCTTGCTTTCCCCTCCAATTACTAGCGGGCAGAGAGAGCCTGATGTTATCGCTGTATTCTCCAACCAAGGGGAACAAGTAACATGTAGATTCCTCCCTGGGAAGCCCAATTCTTCTAAGTACAGTTGATTTAGGGGGCAGATTTTCCATTGTTCTACGAGGAGAGTTATCATTTGCTACTTCACTTATAAAAGATCTCCCATAATCAACCGAAGGACTTGTATGCATGCATGTAAGCATAACTAATGGACTTATTATAATATTTTTTAAAAAAGAATAAAAAAAAAGAAAAAAAATGTTTATTAAAAAAAAAAAAGATCTCCCATAACTTTTTGGTTCATTAGCATTTCCAAAGTGTGGTAAATGAAGATATCAGTAAAATATATTCACATTAATTTAAAGTTGTCTGTTATATTCTTCCCCACCTCCTGTTGGTTTTTCATTCACTGGATCCATGTTGATGAACAGGCTAAATCTACTTGTTTTGTGATCATGCTCTTTGAGGTTTGAAAAACCACAAAATTGATTTCTAAAGGATAGGGCATTGAGTAAGTAAGTCTGATGTTAGGATGCTGAGAAAGAAAAAACCCACTTTCTACTGTCAATATAGCTGATCAAATATGTTGCATAGGTTAGAGTACAATAAAGGTGCAATGAAAGTCACCAAAAAAAAGGGTTAAACTTTTATAGACTATCTGACTTTTTCTAGTTGATAGTGGAAGTGATGTTCTCTTGCAGTTTATGTATTTTAAACAGAAACCAAATTAATATTTGAGCCCCTATCACACAGTAATCTTCTATGCTTCTATAGCCCTGACAGGAAATGGGAAAAGAAGAGTTCCAGAAATTCAGGGGAACAAGCTTGCTTGACCCAGCCAAAGGAGCATACATACTTTTGTTCATCTTAATGCTGTAGAGAGCCGGTGACTTAATATGTGCTATGATCTACGAAATCTTAATCCTATGATCTACCACATGTTAAAAAATTTCTCCTTATCTAGCCCTTTGGTGGGGAATTAATCACCATCCTACTTATAAACAAGGCTACTATCATTTGTTCCCAAATGCTTTCCTCAACATATCCCACTACTTTCAACTGTACCTTGTACTTTAGCCACATGAGTTGACAGACCTCCAAGTAGGGCCAGACTTGCTTCGTTGGAATCCAGAGTAGGTAATTTATCATTAGTTCTGTGGCCTGGGGCTAGCTGCTTATCCTAGCCATATATCAGCTTCTTCATTTGTAAAATAGAGAAAGTAATAATACTTACTGTCATCATTGGTTTGTTTTAAGGTGCCCAGCCTAATCTAGACTATTATTCCTAGTCATCTCAGAACCCCATTTCAAAATAGAATATATAAGACACCTCTGTCCAGCTCAGGTTCAAACTGGTATCACATTTCCCCTTTGCCTTTCTTAAGATTAGCTTTTGTGAGCATGTAAAAAATGTGAGCGATGCCATTTGGGCAGGTAGGAAGTCCTTCTATCCTCCTCAAGGCTGAAGGTAAAGATAATCAGTTTGATGAGTTCTAAAATCTCATCACTCTCAAGTCTTCTCTTCTCTCACTCTTTTTAGCATGTAATCTTGTTATTCCCACTAAAAGAGTCTGGTAAGATTAAACAATACTGTAGTTGACTCAAGGTTCTAGGTATCTATGGAGTTTTGAAAAACATGTTAGTTCTCTGGCTAGTATACACTCTGAGAGCCATTTGTTTATCCAAAAACATTGATTGAGTACCTAGTATGTGTCAGGAATTATTCTAGTGCGATGTTAGCATGGGTGTCTAAATCCTTTGCAATATAAACTACTTAAAAGGAAAAACAAACTCAAAAGTCTACAAAATTCACTAGATAGTAGAGAAAGGTATCAGCATAATTATACCTTCTAGTCGCAATAGAAATCCTCAAACCTGATATTGATGGTTTTGATACTTTTCATAATTAGCATTGGATTTGAAGGAAAAATAAGAAAAAACCTCCTGAGATGGCTTATAAAGCTTAAATTACTCGTTCCTGCTTTATGTCAGTTATAATCATTTTTTTTTTACTTGAATGCCTACAGATAGTTCAATCATATTTCTAAAGAATTACAAGCTACACAATTACAGCAAAATCTTTATTGTCAGAGCTCTTGGTTAGTTCAGTGTTCTGGTTAAATGAGTTTTCTTGTTATAATGAAAGATGAAATTGAAAAGGCTCATTTCAAACTTTCTGCTGAAAATTGTATTATTTTTCTTTCCAATTATAAGGAAAGTTGTTGAGATGGGGTTTTTTTTCTATTGTTTTATTATTATTTTTAACATTGTGGCTTACTTAGTGTCTCATGATCACACAAACATTTCAATTATCTTTTTAGAGCACTGAAAATTGAGACAAATTTGGATTAACTTGTAGTAACTTCAGGATATACCTGTGAACAAAAGAGGCAGTGTGATTTAGTGGGATACACATGGAATTTGGGGCCTTGAGGCCTAAGAGATATAGATATAAATTTTTGCTCACCATTTACCATCTATGTAATCCTGGGAAATTTACTTAATGTTCCTAAGTAGCCTCAGGTTCTTTATCTTAGAATATAAATATGTTTCATCACAAATTCTTTGATCATATGATGGGCCTGGCACACAGCATTTATTCAGTGAATGATTGCCAGTTTCTAATTGTTGTTGCCTCCACTTTCTGCTGGTTTATTTTGTTGTTAATTAATTTTATAAAAGTCACATATGGCCTTATAGTTTAAGAAGGTATATTTATAACATGTATTTATCTCCTTTTGCTCTTTTCAGGCCTCACTAATATGATACTAAATGCATAAAAAATGCAAGGACAAATTGACTAGGAAAAGGGATATCAGTGGGAATAGATGTAACAATTTTTTTGGACAGAAATAAGATAGAGTATTGACTGAGAAGGGTGGAGAAAGCCACAGCCTGAAATGCATGCAGGAAAATAAACTTTTAAAAGAAATAAAATTATTTGCTCCAAATTCAGAGAGTTTTGGGATTTGGAAACTGGGGAGAGCAAAGAGTTCAGGGCTGAAAGCAGGATCTGGTTGAAAATCAGAAAGCAAGAGTCACCTCCTTTCATTCCTCTCCCCCCTGCTTAGGAAATCAGAATAACAGACCAAGCTTTTTTCTGGTTAAGGAGAGGAGTTACTTCTCTAAGCAATTTGAATCACAGTGGTATGAGACCTTGGAGATTCAGCAGAGAAAAACATTGGTTATGGGACTAAAGCAGGGAAATTAACTGGAAGTGTATGTCTCCTGCCTTCCTCCTGCCCCAGAAGCCCCAGATTCAGAAAATACCAGGAATGAGGCTGCCAAGCATGTTGACCTGGATGTGCCTGTTCGATGCTAGGAGCTACCATTCATACTGACATAGACTTTTCATGACGATTTCCAGCAGATGAGAGTAAAGTCCTTATTTAACCAAATTGGGTCATTATTAAAATCGTCCAACAGATGGGTATAAATTGTCTTGAGAAGGTGGGCCTTTTTCTAAATCACAAAAAATTAACTCAATGGTCTGGTGACTGTCATCATACCATATTATACAGTTAGAAAATGAGAAATTTCTCCTCCATTACTGGATGGCTTCAGAGTAGAAAGAAAACAAAATCTTTATAAAATGTCATTAGGAGTCCCATTATTAAAATAGACAGTTCTCTACCTAATCATCCTAAAATAAAGTTTTGCTCAAACGCACAGGGATTACCATTGCTTACATGTGAACAAACAACCTATGATCATGACATTTTTGGAGAATTTCAGATATAAAACAGAGATCTAAGTAAGCAAACAGAGAAAATCAATCATATCAATCAGAGAAAATGCAGGGTTAATAGTTAATAGTACAGAAGAAAATGAAAACAGCAACAACAATCACAAAACTCTCAAGATAGGTAGGAGACTATAGTATAACTATAAAATATGAACAGAATTAATAAAATGATTAATACAGTTGAAAGAAAGGCATATTGAAAATTAAAATAGAAATTTTAGAAGAAGCAGAACTTAAGTTTAACTCAGCCTCCTAGAAAGTAGAGCACAAAGGAAGAGAGGAAGGATAAAGTATCTATCAGAATGAACCCAAGAGGTCTAACATCCTAGGCGAGGATTTCCAGAAAGAAAAAGAGAAAATAAAGGGCATTGACATTTCAGCCTAATAAAAAAATAAATAAATTGAGCCCTGAGAAAGCTCCAAAATGCTCAAGCAAGTATATTTAACAATAATCTATATATATAAAAGCCTAAGCAACCATTATGATGGAATGACCGGAACGACCAGAACGACCAGTGGCTATGATGCGCACTGACCACCAGGGGGCAGACACTCAAGGCAGGAGCTGCCCCTGGCCCACAAGCCCCAATCGCCGATGGGGCCTGCTGGCCAACCTCCTGGGTCCCTCCCCCCAGCTGGCAGGCCCCATTAGGCCCACTGCCTGCCTGCCGCTGTGATGGTTGGTTCCTCCCCCCAGCCGGCAGGCCCTGATTGCCCGATTGGGGCCAGGCCCAGGTCTGGGATGAGGAACTGGGGGTTAGTGGCGGCAACCAACCTCCCATGGCTCCTGGGCCGGGAGCTGCGACCTCTCACCGGCTACCAGGGGGCAGAGGTGATGGGGACAGAGGTGTGGTAAGAATGCGGTGTGTCTGCAGAGCTCACTCTCACTCCCCCTGCTACCCTTCCCCCGGTCACCAGGGCTTGTGCACCAGGGAAGCCCCCATGCTCAGGTGCCAGGTGCCTGAGAGGAGCCTGCCCCACACCTGCATGGCCTCTTTTGGGTGAGCCGGGCCACAGCCGCTGGGACCGCAGGGGCCATTAGGGCTCCCCATGGGTTCCAGTCAGGCCTGGTTCCTGCCCCAGTGGTCTTGGCCCCAATCAGGGCTTGGCCTCTGCCCCAACCCTGGGCTCTGGCCAAGGCCCCCACCTGAGTGCCGAATGTGCTCCTGGCTGTGGCCTCGGAGCGGGTGCCATGCCGGGTCCTTTGCTGTCCGCAGCGGGCCCATACTCATGGCTCCTTGGAGTAGAGCTGCAGCTGCTGCTCCTGCTGCTTTTTCCAGATAAACACCATGGAGGGTGGCAGGCACGGATGCAGGACGCAGGGAACGCCTGCTGCCACCCGCCACGCAGAAGCCAGTCTGCAAGGTCAGACAGGAGAGAGTGTACTGCCTGCCCGGATCCTGTGCAGTGCTGGTGGGCAGCCCAAAGGCCCATGCTGCACCCTGGCCGCGCTCACCACATCTCTGCATGGGGACTTGGGCGCTGTGATTCAGGTGAAGGGGGGCATGTGGGGGCCCAGGTGCTGCCCAGGGCCCAGAGGTCAGCTGGGACCTGCCCTTCCATGCCAAATGCTTGTGCTTTGATTGTCAGCTAGGCCTAGGGACTGCACCTGTGCACAAATTTTGTGCACCAGGCCTCTAGTTTAAAATAAAAGCACACCATGGAACTTAATGGAATTTTATAGCATTAGTGATGAAGAGAAAACACAAAACACACAAAATGAGATTGACTATAAAAGACTGAGAATTAGAATTCACGAGATATTTCAATTGCTTCAACGGTGTGCTACAGATGGAACAAAGCGTTCACAATTACAATTTTCCACTTAGAATTATCTCACTAAGCCAGTGGTTCTCAACCTTGGCTGCACATTAGAATCACCTGGGAATCTTTTTAAAATCCTGATTTCTGGGCCTCATCCTCCGGAAATTGTGTTTCTTCGTTATGGGGTGGGGCCACAACATTAGTAACAAAGAAACAGAATTTCCGTAGGATGAGGCCCAGAAAATAGGATTTTAAAAAGATCCCCAGGTGATTCTAATGTGCAGCCAAGGTTGAGAACCACTGCACTAAGTAATGAATAAGTTGTGAGGGAGATTATAGATATTTTTAGGGAGGCAAATACTCAAATTTAAGCTCCAACTACTCTTTCTTAGGAAGCTATTTGGGAGTATGCTCCCCCCCAAAAAAATAAATAAATAAATAAATAAATAAAGGAATCAAGCAAGAAAGAGGAAAAAAAAGGATTCAGAAAAAGGATCAAACCTAGGAAAGTGATGAAAGAAAGTCCAAGATGAGCAATAGTGCATCAACCCTAGTGTGCCAAAGTCCTGATTGTAACAAAAGGATAGAAAATCCCAGGAAGTGAACTTCTGAAGAAAAGGGGTAACCAATAGAGTAGCTGATGTGTTGGTGTGATTGTTTAGAATTAAAAACATGTGTTAAAAGGGGGTAAGGGAATGGACAGGGGAAAAATGAAAGGCTAGAAAAAAGATAGGCAATTAGAAACCTCAGAAAAAACAAAAACCAGAAAACTCTACAAGATATGCAAATATTTACACTATGCTGCTTGATAGTGAAAAGCATCTAAATAGTTATAATGGCCACTTATTAATTTAACTAAAATAATATATAATAGCAATTTGGTAGGGAGCAACAGAAGGTAAGAGAATTAATCTCTATCATTCATAACCAGAGTCGATAATTGATGATATCTAAAATTAGTAAAGAAAAAAATAGTATATGAGTTGATTATTTAAAAATATGGAAGTAACTTCAGAAAAAGTTGCTTTTGGTCAGCACACGTGGTGATTAGGGAAGAATGGAACAGTAAATATTGTTTTTCATTTTAAGTTCAGAACTATGTAATTATTTTTCCTGTGTGCATGTAAAAAAAGTTAGGACAGCCATATTTTCCATGCAAGAGAATTTCAAAATATGAAATTCTATGATATAATTGAGGGCATGTGTGTATGTGTGTATGTATTCATATGATTTTATGTTCTTTGATAAAAATAAGGAAACTATATAGTACTACATTCTCACTATGAATTATGTGGAGAAAGGAAGAGAAATATGGAAAAAGAAGAAAAAAAGGAGAAAACAATATTTGTCTAACAAATGCTATCATTTTAAATTGCAGAACTTTTAAAAAAATAGTAAACCACTGTAATCACTTAGAGAAACCTAAAATAGATTTTAGATTTTTTAGAAAAAGAGTAACCTTTTGTGTGTGTGGTTTGCTGAAATATAGTTTCCTCTGATTAGCATTATGCACAAATCTCTGCATTGTTTCAGAAGTTAAGAGATTTCTGTTATTCCATGCACAGAATAAGGATTAACTATACTGTTCTATTTCTGGTTTCATTCAAAACTGATCACAGTTAATTTTTGCAACCAAATATCTCACTGTATTGTTTTCAGGACGGATCCAAACTTCTCACTCTTTCCCTGTGGATTTTGCTTGGGCAATGTACTTATTTCAGTCTGCTTAGATTTCCTTATTAGTCAACTCTTCCACTTCCTAAGTTGTTTTGTGTTTCTATTCTGAATGATTTTCAGTGTTTAACTTATTTATGGTTAGAAAGTTTTCAGAACCAAATGCAATATTTTCCAGCATTGTACAGACCGGGGACTTGGGGAAAGCCTAAGTGTGCATCCTTCATTTCTATCTTCTTCCTTGGGGGTCTATTAAGGGTAACTTGTCTCACAAAAAGCTATGTTGAAGCCCTAACCCTCAGTACCTGTAAGTGTGACCTTATTTGGCAATATGGCCTTTGCAGAGGTAATTAAGTTAAGATGGAAGTCATTTTAGGGTAGAATAGGCCCTTAATCCAACCTGATTGGTGTCCTTATATGAAAAGAAGAGACACAAAGACATACACATGAGGAGAATGCTTTGTGATGATAGAGGCAGAGATTGGAGGATGTCTACAAGCTAAGGAAGGTAAGGAACACTGGCAATGCCAGAAGCTAAGAGGAAGTCATGAAACAGAAGTCCCCCTCGAGCCGTTAGAAAGAGCAAGGCCCTACCAACACCTGGATTTCACACTTCTAGTCTCCCTCATTGTGAAGTAATACATTTCTATTATTTTAATCCACACACTTTGTTATAATTTGTTATGAGAGCCTAGGAAACTAATACAGGGACTAAGCCATTTCCTGGCTTGTCATCATTTTCACCTTAGTTGTAATAGTGGTAGTGTACTGTACACCAGTGTGTTCCTGCTACTAGGCTAAGTTTAGGCATAACATCATATCTGATTTAATCCTCAGAACCACTTCGATATTTTAGCATATTTTCCCTGGATGTACAGATTAAGAGATTGAATTCTGGTGGGTTGAAGCCACCCTAGTAATAGCTGGACCTTTATAGGAATCCAAATGGATCTGACTCCAAAATCAGTACTTGGAACCACTACACTATTCTGCTGTCTACTAACGCAGTGTAATCATTTTCTTTGTTTCTCTTTCCTTGCTGATTTAACATTGTTTTTTCCTCCTTAAAGTTTGTTTTAATTATATATCTTTATGCACGACATATACCAATTTATCTTTTACGACTTTAATATTGAGTCTGAACTTTAAAAAAACCTTTTTTAAAAAAATTATTTAATTTAATTTTATTATTTTTTATTGTCTAAAGTTT